TATGGTATTTGTGGCCAGCTCGGCGACGATTGCACGAAACTCCTTAAACGTAAAATTTTTGACTATTGCCGGAATGCGATTCGGCCTCGGAGGTCTTGTCACAAGGTGATGCGTTTACCAATACTCAGAAACAGCAGGGATATCGGCCTCGACTTCAAGGATAACAAACACGGTGCGGTCAAACTTCGTTTCTTTTCTATAGTCTTGCTTTTAATTTTTTTGTCTTGATAGGTAGCCTTTAAAGGCTTTTCTCAGCATAGTTTTTGCTGCGTTGAATGTCAGGTTCAATATTCTTCCTTGTAAGTTTCAATTTTACCAAGATCCAGTTCCTTGGTTTTCTCTCTAAATATTTATGTGTTTCTGTTGCCTTTTTGTTGTTGTTTTTTTTTGGGTGCTTTCTTGCTTGTTCACGTGTCCCCCACAAGCAGTTCTTACGAATCGCTATTTCTTTGCGAGGTCTTTTTCATTAAGCCCTCACAATACCTATCTCTTTGCCTTGGTATCTAAATGCCTTCGTATGCGTTAAGTGGCTTGATTCTGCTCTTTCTGTACTACAATTAAATATTTCTTACTATAATGGTCGTTTTCCTTTCGTTTAAGATTTTAAAAAAACCTTTAATCACGCTCCTATAATCCATTTGCAAACAATCGAAACCACAAAGGATAAAGGGAATGTCCTAGAGAGATAGGGATGACTTCTTCATTTATTGTTAGCTGATCGCGTTGCCAGTGGAGATCTGCCTCGTTGACTTCTTTTGCCACCCCTCTGGCAAGGTGTTGAAATCCTCCGTTATTACCGGAAACTTTTGTGAGTCGCTTAATGCGCTCCACAGTTCAGTCCTTAAATATTTCTAAATTTTTACATTCAGTATTGCCGTTTGGCATTCTAATCAGACGGTTGGCTTTCACCGAGAAACGAAGTGAGTCCATGCCCTGATTCGAATCTATATGACATCGCGGCCCTAAGATTAGCACCTGCATACAATATTCATCAAGTTACCCCGGGGACTTTATAGTCCAGTTTGAGCAAGTAGAGCAGGAATGAGAACGACAGGAATCCTTGATTTTCACTGATACAAATCCGCGGCCATCTCTCTTATCTGCTTCAAGTATACGGATATGATATATACACGTATCTAAACTTTTTTTCTTGACCCGTTCACAGTGAATCTAATTCAGCTTTTGTTTAGTTCACTGAGTAATAAAAGATTAGTCTTTCCTCTATCTGCAATCTTTTCCAGAAGACCATGTACAAACCTATTGCGATTGCAGCTCTCGCTCGTTTCTTTGCTGAGAAAAAAGATCGAATTGTTTCTCTTACAGCTTTTTTTTTCGTCCGCTGCTAGGCCACTCAAGAAACCATTTTCATCGGCGTTCGCGCCTGACTTCTTTTGTTCTGTCTTGCGCTGCACTACTTCCGCTTCTTGTTGCTTTCCAGATACCTTCCTTCCGCAGTCTTTCATCTCAGTGCTTTGTTGTGTATATGGAAAAATCTGTTGAGTTGGCTGCAGAAGCGCCTATATCGCAGAACAACATGATGCGAAATTTGTACATGCTTTGGCTGTATGGCCAGGAACTCCATACTGGTCGCATGGTTTCTCCGTCACTGCGTCCTCAGTGTAGTTGTGGCTTTTATGGCTTATGTGCTGGTACTTTAAGCAACGTGTGGCTTTAGATTGCCCAGTTACAGGGTAAAAAATCGATTTAATAAAAGGGTTCCTGATTGGAAGAACTAAACTGGCAGGCGTCGCGTTGGAAAAATGGGCTACAACCGATCAGCTACCGGCGAACCCGGTGAAAAGTTTGCTCCGAAAGTAGAAATAAAAATGTCAAGAAGAAGGCCGCTTTTTTCATAAAAATGTTCATAATTATCCGTCCGTAAGAGAAATATCCAGATACGCTTCAAGTCCTCTCCGGTTTTCTAGAGATTTTATAAGAGTCAAAGAAGCCTCGGCACGCGGCTCTTTAAACAAAATCTTCAAACCTCGTTCCGTATAATTTGTTACCAATGACCGTAGGCTGAGCAATGTCAGCAAGAAAGGCTTTTCCTCTAATCTGGTTTACACTAAAGACATTGCTTGCTTTGTAACCGTCTGTCCGTTTCAGCAATTATAATCACAAAAACACACATTTCCTTTTTGCGCATTACTGCTTCAACAATTTTTTCGAAGTATTCCTAATCGAATCTAGCTAAGATGAAGTAGCGGATAGGGTTCTCTTCTAGTTTTCCGAACAGCTTATCAACTGGGTCATCCACCCATACACATTTGATTTCGAAAAGACTGTTGCCCGGAATCTCTGCTTGATTACGATGTCCTCCTAAAAACTTCTGGGGACCACTTCAGCCCGGCGGAGCTTTCAGCTTTTCAACTGAGTCGCATATCTTAGTCTACGCGCCTGTGTTCTCTGCTTCTCATTTCATTTATGATTTCAGATCATACCTGAGCTACTAAGTCAGCAGATTCTTTAATGGACGCGATACCTGATTGCTTGGTTCCCTGAGTTTCTAGATCATCCCTTTCGCTACCTGCTAGCAAATTCACATCGCTTCCCTAATTTTTTTCCCTTTTTGTTTCGACTCTGTTGTTGCATATCTTTTTTTTATTTGGTAATCTCGGCAGCTCCGCAAAGTTATTTAGAAGGCACTATTTTGCCTCCCATTGGTTCAAGCGTCGCTAGTAAGAGTTACGTAATCGTGGCGCTCTGTGCTGTACGCCTGATTTTCTGCTACTGTGTAACCCACAGTTTCCTTTTTTTTTAAAAAAAAAACGTTTAAACGTTAAGAAAAAACGTTTTTCGGGCATGATGTCTCAAACTCTCCTTTTGTCTAAAGGTGTTTAGACAGTCCCGAGTATTTCAACACTCTTGTAGTTTCGCACCCCTTAAACAAAAGATATTGATATAAAAAGAGAAAGGTTCGGCAGAGGCAAGGAAACGTGTTATGCGATATGAAGCGTGATTCGAAATTACTGGCCATCTAGCTCCATAAATGCGAAATATTTTTAGTTTCTCGATGTAAGTCCTGCCGTCTGCGACACTCCTAACCTCAGCCTTCAAGCCGATATATATATTAAAAGTTACGCTCGGTGACGTAAAAGATATTTTCGGCAACAGGAAGAATTTCTTCTCAGAGGAGCAGAGAGTTAACCGAATAAATTACTTTTCCGTGAAAATAGATTGGATGCTTGTTTCGTTAATATGGTACACCTATGTTGACTAACCGTTTTATCAGAATATCCTCTACAAGCTATATCACCCTTTAAAGGGCTAGCTTATTGATCGCACATATCATTGCTTAACAACGACAGAACGAGAGGTTCTGGAGCAGAAGTTTACAGTCCGAAAATTGGTGCGAGCGCTGGAAGATTTGCATTCTCTACACACGGAACAAACATTTCAAGAGTGCATCAGTTTTAGCATTCGACTGAATAGCCCTGCTCAACGAGTATCTCTTCGCTGGAACTTTATCACGCCATTAGTCATCTCCGAAGCCCAAGGTGTTGTGGCATGGAATCGCAGTTAAATAAGTGTTTCGAAAGTAGAGGCGTAATTCCTCCAAAGCAACACGAATTTAGAAAAAGTGCTTCACGGCCACGGCACGCACAGCGCCTTTGACGGACGGAAAATAATCGATGAGGATCCCACAGAGGTGTAAGTGTGTTGAATTTGTGGTCTTCAAAGAAAACGTGGAGTCCGAATCTAATGATACGCTGGTTGTGCCCCCTTCAAAAATAGGAGTCTCAACGAACGTGCTCGCTATGACAGCATAGACAATTAACGAAAACGAGGCCACGATCAGCGATGGTATCTCTAGATTGCCACAGTCTTCTAAAACAACTAGACTGGTAACCTCTTTATTTCGAATCTTACGTCCTATTAGGCATTCCATCGGACGGTTGGCTCCCAACACGAAACAAAGTTCGTCTGTGCTCAGGTTCAAATCTAAACCGTGACATGTCTTGAAGACGAATAACCTAAGGCCTTTTCGACGGCCTAATCTTTTATAAAAATAGCAGAGTTTCGAATACAACAAGCCCTCGCCACGTCTGATATGATCGACACTGAGCTTGGCCTAACGACGAGCTCACAAGGACAAAGGTGGTAAGTTCGAACGAAAAGTCGGAATGGTGGTAGCTCACGACATCCTAGTGATACTACGCACGCCTCTCACCTACGTCAACAAGTTACCATACATAGAGCTAACGATGAAATATAAAAGAATCTAGTTGTTCTAAATCCCGAGGGGATTAGTAGGCTCAGCACGAAATAGATTTACATACCTTTACGATGATCTCCACAGCATCAGAACAATATGAAATGACACGTAGAAGGAATTAGCAACGAAATTGTCACGTCACCTATGGTCCATGGCTTTCATCACGTGCTACAGACTTCCACCTAAATCTAATGTTAAATATGTGACGAACCCCCGCTAAAGACCCTATACAATACGAGTCTCCCAAATACTTTTAGTCGGCAGCCTGGAGCAGTGACGAAGGATCGTAATGTTGTGCGATTGTATGAGAAATGTTTTTAACTCAATATTATAAAGCGTATTCAACCTGCTATCATGTTCTAGATAAGAATGCGACTGGTAAATAAATCACGATTGGTTGTCATATATATCTATATATATATATATAGTTGGTACATAAATATATAAATTTTTGAGAACATGAATAAAATGCATATGTGTATATATAAGGAAAATGTTTGATTACGTTTTTCAAGCCGAAATCTATGAAAATTAAGCTGTGCCTTTGTTTGGTCTCCAGAAAAATGTTAACATGTTGCTTGATGCTCTCACCAAACGGCTTAAATTGAAATGAATCGGTGGTACAGTACGACTAAATCTAGCAGACGACAGTGTTTCTACTAAAAAAAAAAAGAATCGAATGTCTCCAGATACTGCACGGTGCACGCTGCTTGGCCACAAACGAGAGTGGAAATGCTAGAGTTTATCATAGTGATCAACTTCCGTATTATTCCAGTGGTTTAAATGTGGCCAAACAGTAATCCTACCCTCGATGGATCCTTCAAAATGCGTCGTGAATTAATTAGCTAACGTTGTGAGCCGTATGTGTTTCTTGGCCTTCGAATGATTGCGTAAACGCAGCCGTGCTTGCCAAAACTCTATTGGTAAAAGCAATTTACTTCCAGAATTACAGACCGCATGGAAAAATTTATAGTTGTGTCGGTGTTTGTGACTGTGGTAAAATTTACCGAACAAAATTTTAAAGTGGAGTACCTCGACTTTGATACTAATCCAATTTCGGAAAGATCAGTGTCACTTTCTTACTTTGTTCCGCTGAAATTGTTAAATCCCGTCTCCTATAATCTTTATTCTGTTCTTTTTGACAACCCTCATTGTTAATTATGTTTTTCCAGTAATACACAATGTCATAATACTAATAGACTTAAGTATGAATTATTATACATTGTACCTAAACAAAAGCAGATATTTTAACGAGATTTTTTGCGCATGATAAAACTGTCATTCTGAAAACTTATATGGAACCACCATTTATCACTATTATACCTTTAATCCAAAACCCAAACAAATGTTTCCTTCGAAAACGTGCGAAATCGTTTTTAATAATACACTCGGAAGAATCAAACATTGAGCTCTAGTTCAATTACCATCCATACGTAGTAACCCAGCGGATTCAAATCTGGGTAAGTGTTCATTCAAGAACATTCTTAAGCAATCAACTTCCTACTAATCTTAGGCCCCGCAGTCCCTTGCTGGAAGACGTTTCGTCTCCTTTTAGATAGTTCCAGTTATCCATGATTGCATACCCCTTTTGTAGAATAAGCAAATAGATTTCGTTGGTAATGCATTCTCCTTTTATCAACCACGACAGTCACACTCAAAATATAAACACTACCCATAAGCATTTGCCGTTATTGCAGTAGACATACCCTTTAAGTCCTGGCAGAAGTCAGCGATCATTTTTCTGCGGTTGTGTACCAATAATAATTCTTTTCTGCTACAGTGAAATCAAACGTGCCCTGTTGCCTTATTCTTAAAAGGATAGATGATCGTAGTTTTATTGGCCTCAGAAAGCGTTTGTCTCATTTTTATAACATACACACGGTACCTGAGGCCTTCGTGAACAATCTGTGATACCATTTATTTTTCCTTAAAGACCTGATCATAATAGTAGAATTTGCAATTTTGGATGGCCTCCAGCAACTTTGAAGTCCGCATTGCCTTTTCCTTGCAGTAAATTTACCATTTTGCTATGCTGGAATCTACTTCTGCTTCTGCTTCTTCTTCCTCTGCAGTTGCATACTCAGTCGCAACGCTGTACACTGTTGAAACATTTTGCCATCTCCTTGATGTTTCGTCAGCGTGAAGACAGAAAAACAATATAATAGCTGAGATTGCGAACGTTGTAAACATTGGTTATTTCGTTCTAGAAAAGACTAGCATTTTTCCCTGCCAGTCTGTTACTTCCAACTTTAAATCGCAAGTGTAAATTTAGATCGCAGAGCGACGCCAAACGAATTTGGGTGTAGAGACGCTTCATTTCGTGCAGGCGAGAGCCAGTCGTTCCAAGTATTGAACGTCAAACACGAAAAACTAAAAAACAAGCCTCAAACGAGAGCCTATTTAGACTTGCCGCGCCTAATTTCAACAATAACAATCCTCCAATAAACGAACATTAAGTTAACACTAAGGCGAAACCGCATGTTTATGGGCACCGAACTTTAATCAATGTAACTGGTAAGATTTCATGTAATCACTAGGTCGATGTCTTCAAACAACATTGATTAAATAGAATTAACGAACAATCATCACGATGAATGCAAAAATATGCAATTGACAGGAATGCGAGTAGGAGGGGCTGGCGGACTGAAGACTACAAAAAGGGTGACTAGTCCTCAATCGGAAGGGCGAGTTACTGTTACAATGGAAGCTTTTAGGCAGAATAGAGCTAGCCAAAGCGTCGGAGCGTATGCTGTGAGAGTGTAATGCCAATATAGAAAATAAAATAGTTAGAAATGGGTTGGTCAAGAACTGAATCCGAGATCGATGGAAACACGTGTCGTGTAGCCTGGAGACGATTTAGCTTGTACATTTTCGTTATAGGCAAGATGTGAACCAGTCTGTACGGCTTACCAGAAAACAATCGAACGAGACAATTGTACCAAGACAGTGATTTGTTTCGGTGGCAACGCTGAATAAATTGGGGCGTGGACTGATGCGCGAGGAGGCAGCAGTTGTCGTTGTCGAAAGTATACGAGATTACGAGTCTTAGCAATAATGCAAGTAGCAATAGAACAACATGATACTAAATAGTTCTGACGAGTCATGTTAGCTGAATGGTGAGGCTCGTATTAAAATATCAATGTTTGCACGCGAGAAAAAGATGCCCAAGAACGAGGAAAAATGTGCACTGTTTTATAGGCTGTTGATTGTTATAGGGTTCGTAGGTCGATAATATGAGGAGATTATGAAATAGTTTATCAACTTCAAGTTTTCAGGTATATTGCATAAATTAGAAAAACGTAAAATTGAGGCGAACAATTGTTACGAACGTTAAGTTCTGATGAAGTTATGACTTACAGTTGTTTTTCGCGACGTCCACAACGTCGCGTTATGGGCTCAGTTAAAAAATGTGGTTTAAAAACGTTTTAAAAAGTTAAAAAACGGTTTTTTTTTCATGAGGGCTGTTCATTGGTGCATTGGATCCTATAAATTTCGAATGAGGAAAGCTGACTTTTCTGTTAACAATCTATACGCTGCATATTAAGGTTAAGAAATAACAATGACAAGTATATCGAAGTTCAAAAGCCGCTTCTCAATTGTTTCCATGCCTATCTGGTTTAGAACGATCTCAAAATAACAACTAAAGATTATCAAATTGAGTTTTCTATGGAAAGTTACTCTTAATCTTAAGATTGTTTGTTTTTTAATAAGCCTATTTATCTAATGTAGATAAACCTTCAGAACTAACGGCTTTTCTTCCGAGTTAATTTACTTATTGTATATCATTTTCAAAGTATTTGAAATTAATACGAGTTTAATGATCTTCAGAAATCAATAATAATAATAATAGCTCTAAAAACGTGATCAGCCAGATTAGAGCGTTCGCTTGAAAGATCCCTTCCGCAAAACAAAAATTTTTATATGTGTCAACATATATATACAAATTGTATATGGATTTGGTATTGTTTAGAGCTAGTGACTTGCTTTCTTTGCATTCAGTGTGATACGGATGAAGAACATTACGATCGCAAGCACCCATTGGGGTACATATCGTACACAGCCCATCTCTGCCTTTGTCCTCCTAATTGTTACAATCACGATTCCGCGTTGTAGGAATGTGGTAGCCTTATCGAACTGCTCATTATGATATCATGTTTTCGCTTTACGGGAAATTCCTTCGGTTCCTTTTTGTTTGGTATAAGATCAAGAGTTTTTCTGGTCATCTATAATCAGTTTCAAGTGGATCGATGGCGGGCTTGCGTTAACCTACGTGTGATGTCAGTTTGTGAGTGTTTCAAGCGTCGCCCTTAATTGGAAACCAATCTTAAAGTAAAACGGATGAACGCATTGTTGAAATAAACACAGTACTTCTTACCTTTGGTCGTACACAAGCACAAAGAGATCCGTGCTCCGGACTGCTGCTTCTACTTTACCAGAAGGTAAGCCTCCTCCCCCCCCGCCCCCCGGCCAACCAGATAAAATTTCGAAACAACACAGTCTACATCCCCTGGTCAGGGGAAAACACATTGAGCAATATTGATATTGTCTAACCAATACCTGGTTCCGATTTGACACTTGACCGTGCGTTTTTTTCGTATCACCGTAGCGTTCATGGCTTTTCTGTTTTCTGTTGTTCTTCCTCTGTGCCGTGATTTGCACAACAAATAAGGCAAAACTATTGTTTGATATTATTCTTTACGACTGTCTGTTCATCGTGATATTGTTATTTTTACCAAGCAGAAGAATCAGCACTGGGTGACGCGTCACCATTTCTACAACCTGACTCAGATACGGGTAATTTCCTAACTATGCCGCCTGGCAGATGCGGCCTGCTACCCTGAGAAACCTACCTATGTACCGAGTAGTCGATATATTTGATCAAATAATTCAATAATAAATTCTACAGTATTTTCTTCTAATTTGTTTTATCATAAAACCTTTGATATATTAAATCAAAACCGGTTCATATTCATTGTTACGGTGTGCACTTTCAAACAAGTTGACTTTCCGTTTAAAAAGATATCACTGTTCACAGTTAAGTCATTCTCTTGGATTTTTTTCCGTGCAAAAATACCACTAGAGATCTATCGTATCGTATCGTATCGTTTTTGTGCAGTCCTTTGTTGCTATTGTACATATTGGGTAACCGTGCCTGGATAATGTGCCACTCACGATAAGACAACCTCCCCCATCAAACTGATCATTATTACGCTATAGCCACTACTCCGCTGCTATACTACATTGTACCCTCATATCGAGAGTCAATCAATTGGATTGTCAACAGGCACTCTGACCCTTGTCAACATTAAACAACTAGTCGCCGTGGAAAGAACGGATACCCAGGAGGATGAATGCGCGTCCATGCTAGAAAAGAAAGAAGATAATCAGGAAAGACTATATATACACATATACGAATACTTAAATAATAAAACTTAAGTTAGATTAAAAACATACCTCGTACAAAATTATAATCTTTTATTTATATACATATATCGATAGCTTTCTGAATTACTTAGTTGGTGTCAGTGCGCAATGTTGCACAGCGTGAATTCCTTTTATGAAGAATGAGAAGAGTTTTTTAAAATCATGTATAATGTGCTCTCGAGAGATATTGTTTGTTTACTGAAAGTTACTGTTAGTCTCGGGGGACCGATAAGTTCATTAATTGAAAACCTCTAAATTGTTTTTCACGCTGAATCAGCCAAGCAGATTTTTCAGCTAACCTAAAACGTTTTTAAGTTTTAAAAAATTCTTAGGCTTTTTATTGCATTTTCCAGTCGATTGGGCAACACGCGGATTGTTAAGCGAACAAGCAAATCATCCATGGACGCGACCCATTCGAAAACCATCACCTATTGTGTTGAATCGCTTAAATTCCAGGTCGAACCGCGGAAATCGGAATAAGCGTAACCCGATGGCATAAGGCCTACAACATTATCGCTCCGACGAGCTATTTGCTCGTGCAGCGCCTTCTTTGTCGATTTGTTGTCCCAGTTTGGCGACTTCAGTTGAGTTCGGTTTTTCACTGCATTTAAAAAACTCTAGCAGAACTTCAGGGACCCTCTGAAGTGTCCATGCGGGAAGGTAATCCTGGGCTTAATCATTTGCTCTTGAGAAAAAAAAAGGTGTCTTAAAATGTCCGTTTTGGATGATACCGATCTTTAATAAAAATGACATTTTTCTTGAGCCGTGCGTGCAGTAGTGTATTGACGTTCAGGCAACTGCCAATAGCCTTTCATTGGGTTCACTTGGGATTGATTTTCCTTCCCTTAAAAGTTTACCTCGCGCTTGCAGCAAAGCGATGCAATGGCTACAACGACAAGCGGCCACGATCTCTTGGCTATGGAAAACGGATTGTCGTAACAGTTGGTGAGTCCAATCGGCCTTTCAGGCTCTAGACCGTTGACACTGGTTTTAGCAAACGTTGCTAGCTTTGACGAAATTCACTGAGTACTTCCTTTTAATCTTCTTTGTCTCAGCTACATTTTTTCGCATCGGAAAATTAATGGAGGATGTAGTATCAGAAATGTAATTTTTAAATTTCACATTTTGAGCGCGTAGAAAACTAGGCATTTTTAATTTAATAGCGTTTGTGGTCTTCAACTAATTGAGGTAGCAGATACGTCCTTCGACTTCGAAGTCTGTTCACAGAATTGGATAAATGATTATCGTAACTTGCTTCTAATGCAGGATCATTCATACACAAACTGATGAACAATTCAGATGTCAAATATCTTCCTTACACATATTTTTAAGGTGAATTTTTTAGAGTGATTTAGTTGATATGCTTTCATTTGCACAGGCCCTTTCCTCGAAGCGCTCGAATAAACGTACCAAGCTGCATAGCCAGCCTTCGCATGATCTCAATCATTATTTTAGAAATAGAAACACTAAACGTAAGACGCACGTCACCTAACTAGGCAGGATAATATTTTCCACCCATTCTAAGTGCTCCAGTGGTAATATTAGCAACCATGGATGAATTTGAATGCAGCTGTCTTACACAACCGCTGGCATTATTTCTCTACATAGAATATTCCAGTACGCGGTTTGAATTGCGTTTGCGATCTTAATTTGTTATTGCAGACGCTGTTGCCACACCCTCCCCCACCTCTCAACTCATTTATTTATAATTTCCCGCCAAAGATCTTCAGGTCTAGTGCTAAAAAGCCCGTCAAGCGCCAGCTTTTGAAATCTTCGCTACCGTCAAATGCACGATTTCTAACTTAATTTGACGACGGGCGAAAAAAGTGCTAATCTGTCGGAACAAGATTTGAAAAGTCTAAACGGGAAAGTAGATTCTGACTCAGGCTTTTGCAAGGCCACGTCGATAATTCTTGCCATGAACGGTCCAGCATTTCACTGTTCTGTCCCGCCTGTCTTTTGCGTTATATAGCCAAGTTTAGCAAGTGTGACTGGACTATATATAGATCTTCGTTGACAATCTTTATCTTGTCTGCCATTTCTTAGTGCCACGAAACCTTTCCAGTCCGATCAATCGCAAATGTTAATCTTTTTGGGATAAAGATCTGACTTAAGTCGGCGATTAGACACATCTTCCGGAGCTACCTATTCCTCTCTTTCCTTCATATAGGCGTGGAGCTACCATTTTTCTCAACCATAACAATTATGTGTAAAAGCATGTTATTGTAGCAGGTTTTCCAGAGTAAGGGGATTTCCCGGCGCCCGGCGCTCGGCGAGATATAAGAAGCCGTATTTTCTCGTGCGCTCTACCAAGCTTGTGGCACATCCGGACTGTCTAATATGTAAGATGCTTGATAATAGCTTGATGTTCTCAGCTTCACTTCTAGGTCAATTAACGAGTTGTTTACTGTCTGAAGTATTTATCGACCTCGGGCGGCTAGCCAAAGTGGGATACCGCCCTCAAGTCCATTTTTGGACCCCTCTAAGCACTTTTGTCAGTTAGAGAATCTTTGCGTTATGCGGCGCAAATCCTAGACTACTTTTGCAGGTTGTGCTCACGGCAAAGGTCAAAATAGAGTAGACTCCAAAATTATGCATTTTTTTCTGGCGGCTGACATCGACATATCTAGGCTTACTGTTCTGGGAATTGTCCACACACAAGAAGCTCGACCATATTTTTATGTCTACGTGCCCTGTCAACGCAATCTGAAAAGGACCTAACTGATTTGACAGACATGGCACACTATGCAATTCTATTATAGCCTATGCAGATATCCAGAGGATATCTTTCAAATCTATTGCGTTCGTGCTAGAGATAGGAAACCCCGCAATATATGTATTATGCTTTGCGCTGCTTACGAGTCTAGTCGCTGGGCAGTCTGGTTCGGTAACAAGCAAAAAAAAAAAAAGAAACAGCTACAAAGTGCATCATAAAATAACTACTAATATCTTAAATAACTCGAATGATGAACCACTGATCAACTATTTTCGGAACTTTTTTATGACCCCCAGTTTTAGTCTTCTAGAGCCACCATATATATGCTATAGTGTCAAGCTTATGATGCCAAGTTGCTGTAAATGTGTGTGTTTTAGATTTTTATACGCTACCTGGCACAGGTGACTGAATGAGTTTAACGGGCTTCGTTAACCTGATTGGAGCTTCCTTACGAGCATTTCAGAAGTTAGAGAGGTTAGAAAAGCAAAGCCATAAGAAAAAGTGTAGCTGCAGGAGCAGCTTTCCATTGATCGTTTAGCGATGAGAAAAGATTTACTCTAGATATAAAAATCAATCGTACTAACTATGTCTTCTGTTAACTAAGAAAAGGCTTTCGTTCTAATTGTTACGTCTTGCGAAGTAAACAAATACTGGCGTCTTTCTTCTAGAGAGACGCGTTCATTACTAAAAAAATTATTATTATGAAAGTATATAAATATATGTATTAGTGACGACGTTCTATAGCAATTCGATACCGGTCATTTGGAAGCGGTATCTAAAAGAAAACCAGTATTTAAATAAATTTCTTTGTGTGTACCTGCATAACAACCTAGGATTTACCTATTTAATGCAGTAACCATTCGTTCTCTGCCAGACCTCAATTCGTGGCTTGCTGGGTAACAATATTTCTATTGATATTTTTGAGCGCTTCCTTTTAACGCAGAATTCATTTTCTATATTTCTGAATAGCTCAATACTAAAGAAATATTGGTACGTAGAGGTTCGTTAAACATGCCAGACGCGAAAAACTTGTGGCACTTTAAGTTTTAGATTGATAGCGGTTACAGTAGTTACAAAACATGCAAAAAAAAAGTCTAGAAATGGCTGGCCATTAGGGCCTATATATATATATATATAAGCTTGATGACGGTAAACGCTCCCTTAACGAATACAATTGCAAATTTCTGCATCCAAACTTAGAGATCATCAGAAATGGTTTCTGCGCTATTTCGATAAACTTTCGGCCGTGTCCTTGTTGCAGATCCTCCGATTTGCCTTATCTTCCGAACGCCTAACGGCACTAACTGAAAATGTTTATTTTCTCGGAAGCATCCTTCGTGCACATTCGGCAATCGCTTACGTTACTTTAACCGTTCGGGTCCTTGCCAAATTAGTTTGTTCCGAAGAGAACTCGCTTAATCTTATTGTATAACAGCAGTCAAGATTGGCCGGGAATCGCAAAATAATAAGAACCTGCCCGCTACAAAATTCGCTGTGAATTTCTGCCGAACGCCCTGTACATACTAGTTACTATTTAGCGAGCTTCATAAATGTAACTAACTCCACAGATGGATCGCATATATAAAGAAACAACAAAAAGCACCCGTTGACATAGTGACGTTAAGAAAAACCTTTTCATTCAGTTACCTGCCATCGTGTCCCCCAAGTCCAAACGACTGCCACCAGATGAAATTGTAGCACCTAACTTCTAAGCTAGGTAATGCAGGCGCACTGCGAGCCGATGAAAACATGTAATAACTCATCACGTCACTAACAGTCAGAACGATGGACGCTTTCTCGCCTACAGATCAGAATCCGGCCTTCATTCGCTAACGAAGCGACAACGGGAATTAAATGAAAATGAAGCGGCAATTCGTGACCTTTACGTCAGTCCCTCTCTTCCCTCCGAGCCCCAAACATCAAGCCACCACCCCCAAGTAACACACGAACGACGATCAGGCAACTTGATTCTAATCGTCGTAGAAGAACTAGAGGAAAAAAGCGAAAGAAAGCGATGCAGAAGGGGAATGAAAAAAAAGTTTGGATGAAATGGACTCCGCCCACAAATAACAGCAGATTAATTAACTGGTAATTCCATAATGCGTCTGTACACGGTATGATCTTCACGTTTTTTTTCGAAGTAAGCCGGACACCATGAACGCCGTCTGACTACCGACAATACCAAAGAGAGAGAGAGAATTGATCGGGTTTCAGTTTCAGCCAGCAGGCACGATCCGGGATTGTTGGATCTATTGGATAAAAACAAAAAAAAAAAAGGAACATGTCGTGAGTGACCATTATTATAATTGTGCTTACATAGGGTTTGTGGCAATAGAAGGTGCGGTTTCGATGCTTCCCTGTATGGGAGTATGGTGCTATTTGAAAAGGTGTCACTACGGCCCGTTGGATAATGATGTGTCAACAGATTCTTCATCGGCGATTCGAGCTTCAAAATGGCGGATGTATTCGATATATTTTAGAGCTAGCGGAGAAGTTTATATAATATTTTTAGTTGTAGTCTATGTTTATTATGTAATTTGCTTGGACAACGAATGCCCTTTGCAAAAAAAAGTAATGAATATCGAGCTTTACAATGAGCAGGTTTCGCGTAATGGTTTTCTTAAATAACATAATTGAATACGACAGCGTTTTATCGACTATAGAGTTCTGACCGCGGCAGGTCAGACGCATTTACGTCATCTGAAAAGTATAACGATTTCAGGCATCGGCTAATTTGTGCTTCAGAAAAACATGTCCTAATCAATTAACGAATTCAAGTATGTCGATTCCTGCTTAGGTAGCTCATTATTGATCCCTCCGGCCCCGTCAATAATGTTTATCGTCATGGTTAAAAATGCTAGCTTGTAGCAATAACGATAAAAAAAAAAAAATAGAAAGAAAAAACTGAAAATCACAAGGTTAGGATGCCGACTGCTCACTAGTAGACACTGAATTAGGACAGCAATTTATAGGAATCTATTTACGTTAAAAGTCTGCCAAAAAAGAGACGTATTTCGCAATAGCTCTTTTGGATAGAAATGATAGAAATACGGCAAGATGTGTAGAATTGTCTTATGAAAAACTCTGAGCAAAGCGTATCGATTCAGAGAGTCTTGTAAATATTAGTAAGAATATTGTAACCCGTTTCGTGGGGCGAATAGTAGAAAAGATGATACGACAGTATATCAGTGTTTCGTGTTCTACGTCCAGCACTTAAATCGTCGGGCACTATCCCAGACAGCCTATTTTCACAATAGACTATCTATGCTCATATCATTTGAACCTCGTGTCCAGCAGGCAAACACCTTACCCATCCAGCTATCACACAGAGGGTGAATTATCTATACGTATAGGAAACGAACAGTTTGAAAGAAAAAAAAAAAAGTCTTACAAGAAAACGTATAAACCTTTCATTATTATTTCTAACTTTTCTTTATTTGACGCCTGATTACGATGTTGAATTCTCTAGTGATATCTATGGAACTATATTATATATTTATTGTTTAAATGAAGAAAAAAAAGAGGAGACAACTTGTTAATACGGACTTCCGCATACAAAACCAAACGAATACACTTCCTTCCTATGTAAGGACATCAAGCCCGTATTTGTCACTTACTTAGTTGAATAGTACATAGCTCTGAGGCAGTTCTAGCTCAAAACTTAGTTTAATTCAGCTAGCAATATATAGGTGTATATGTCTGATGAGATAGACTTTTGAGAGGTGAACTTTACGAAGCCATAGTAACTTTGTTTAAAAGGACACGTTTATAATCCACCGTCTTTCTATATGCAAGAGAGAAGTGGATTTGTTAACAAAGCGAAGTATAAATCTTTACGCTCTGTATGATACGTGCACGCGTACAGAGTACGTCAAAAGTTTTTTTCTATAGAATCCAATCTTCTTACATTAGTATCTGCCTCTGTTAGAATAAAATCATTCAGAGCTGACATATGTCTTTTTCATTGAACTGTAAAATGGAGAAATCTATTTACGGCAAGCTAAATAGTATTTCTTTCAGTGGAAAAGGAGAGGATGGTCACCGCCATGATGCCGCAAGTGCTTTCTCTATCAATAATTCCTGCCCGCCTGCTCCCCCTTGCACAGCAAACACTAGAAAAGACAGGGGAAACTTGCCCAAGTTCATATTCACTGCTAGGCGTTCTAAAATCAAACCGAATTGTGCATCGAATGAAGTTAACCTGTTAGCTTGATAGAGTTAGTCCTCTGTTCGAGGACCTCAATAGTAAATCTAGCTCTCGAAATGTGAAAGCACGCTAAAGTGGGTCATTCTATCACAGTAGAGTAACTTCTATAATAAGCGTTGTATTGGCTCCGAAATTTATAATAAGAGAATCAGAGGGGTAATATCCTTTTTTATTTTTTGTAGGAATTATGTTTAATGTGAGAAACAGGCATTTCGTTCCTGATTATAACTCTCCCCTGTTTGCTTTTTTCACTGTGATTTTTTTCTGAGAAATACCGTCAGCATCATTATAATTGCCATTAAATACAATATCAAGACGCCACGGCATTGTGAAGCACCACACATCGAATCGTGATGAAGGCCTTTGCTTTTGATGATAGAGAAGAGCAGCGGGACGGGGTAAGAAATCCGTTGGCGGCCACCTGTACTATGGCATTTGGCGTCAATATGACCGATGGTCTCCAAATGATTTAAACGAAGAGCTCACCACGGCAAAATTATATCACACATCGCTAACACCGATCGGCCACAATAACTCAAATATAAGACTACTTCTCGATAGCTAAACATCTTCGAGAGAAGAGATTATGAGTGGGCCTGACATAACAATGGTCAGCTTTTGTCAATTGATTTCCGATTAATATATCCGAACTTATTTAAGAGTCGAAGGAAAACCTGTTGGATCACTGTGACTTCGTTGTGCTGCTAGAAAATCAATGTACCTTGCGTTTCTGTGTTGAATTAGGTAACCGTAGACTAGCGGACGTGTCTGAACGAAGTACGGGAAAAATGCTCTATGAACAAGAAAATAGTTTGCCATCTCCAAAAGACATTCGATGGACAGCCACCGTACACAAATACCCATGCAGACGGACAGAGACATGTACGTAGAACGACGACCTAGACGCAAACGAGAGACACAAGCAGCAGCAGCGGCGGCGGCGGCGGCGGCACATAGAGGAGGATGGACGTACAGACACACAAACGCGAGCACACACCTAGATACACAGACAGACGTCACTGCACATAGGATGTCAGTGGCCAATGTGAAACGAGAAAAGGAGATTTGTGGCAATTTACTGAGCGACGGGGGGTCGACCGATCCTTTTCCTCTGCCGTCGTCGTGCTAGCGGCGGCAATAGGGGCTCTTATTGAGTGCCCCTTTTGAACTACTCCGCCGAAACGGCTCGTAGTTACGTAGTACTAGTGGTTGTAGTACGCGAGCCGGCTCACAACCAGTTGCTATCCGTGTGCGAATACGAACACGTCTAGCACAATCGGTTGACTGGTCAGACTTGCACTCGTTCGCTCATACACATGCACATAGAACGACTAAGAGCTACGGTCATATTGTGCGAAATAGGGCAGATTGTGCAGCCGCGGCAGGCCTGATCACAACGCAATGAACAGACCGAGACGGGCAGAAATGGTCGACCGTGGAACGGACCAGAAGCTGGACGGCGCTCGTTGCCGCACCGGCGGCGGACTGCGCGCGGTCATTTTTCATGCTTCATTTTTTTGTTCGCATGCTTCGCGCCGCCCCTGTCACGTCACCGAATTCAGAATGATCTTGTCGCTGCGCGCCGTCCCTGCAGACGCAGCGGCCGTTCCATCAAAGCAAAGGCATCACTAATCCACACTGCTTTCGTTGTTGACGTTGTTTTTGATATGGACGTCGTGCGTCGCTGTCGCTGTTCATTGCGTTCGCTCAAAGTGAGGCGGTACAAGCCCTCTGTGATATTATTACAGTTACAACCACTCTAGCCACTTCCACTATTGGGTCTGCCGAACCCCACTCCGCGTCGATAGACCACGGGAGGAGGGGAGAATGAAGGGGAAGGGGGTAGATGACGATGACGCCAGGGATAATTTCGATATTACTGTTAATTATATTATTTCAATGTTTTTTCGTCTTTCGTAAGTCGAGGAAAAGATGCAGATTTTTCAAAATAACGGAAGATCCTGCAACGCCACTAGTATTAAGATAAATTGTGTAGGTTGTTTTCGCTCTATGGCTAGTTTACGCTTGGAAAAGAAATTGTCTAAGATTCAAAATTAGCATGCAATAATTGAGGCTCATTGCCACCGGCCAACGTTTATAGAAATGTACAGATTAGCTTAGCGGAAGACGTGTAGAGAACGTAGGACTATTTAACGCCAAAAGCATTCACCAAGGGTAGCGTTACTGAAAGACACAAAAAGAAAGGACAACGGTCCTCGTGTGTATGCATCCTTCTAGAACACTTGTATTGTTCGATCTAACAGGATTCTACATAGAACGATTTACTAGCGTTCGAAAAAAGGACGGTTTCGAACACCCGGGTAACCCTTCTCCCATATAGTCCTAACCTAGACGGTTTCATATGAAAAAGAGGTCGAAGCATAATAAATGTACGTTAGAACGTTCACCATACGGCAACCTATCTAGGTCTTAAAAAAAAAAACTAGGTACCGCTGTTTTGAGGTTGCAGTTCGTTCTAACCGTGATTGACCTGTGCAATATTGCTAGCACGAATGTCATACTTGAACCACAATAAAAGCAAAATAGCTATACGCAAATTATTGCTACATGCTGTACATCAGCGTGTAGACTTTTATAAATCCGTTTTCCATTCTGTCGGCCCAGTGAGATACGGCACTAAAACGCGGAAAAATGTCACCGACAAATGAAATAAAAAAAAGCGGCTATATCGTTTTTTTTTTTTTTTTTATATATTTTTATTGACGTTCAGGTCGATGAAAATTAAGGTATTTATTTGCTCCATGCAAAGTCATCTTTAATGTTTTCGCCCACTCGAACCGCACTAAATTTTCGACACACATTCATCTCAGAATGGCCAAGAATTAGATTGTATGTGCTTTGAAGACCCACGCTCTATTGTTAGAAAAGGCCGCATATCACGCGTAGCCCCATCTTCCCTGCCCCGCATTAATGATCGCTATGAAGCATAGTTTCTATGGTTGATTACAGTAGATAAGATTTATCATAATCGCTAGATTCTTTTACTTAAAAATCCTATTACCATTAAGCAAGGTTCTTGCTGAATAATATAGAGATGTGGAATACAAACAGCAAAGCCATCATGAGATGAACGTACAACATTACATTACTTCAGTCGCATTTGAATACGACTTGAAGTATGAGTAGATCTGAAGATCTTTATGGTCATCTACGTTTGTGGCACTGTAGACACATGCGCCTACCCACTGAGGGCCGTTCTTCGGATGTCCTCGTTGGAGGCCCCGTTGTCTAAAGTTAAGCCGAGGTGTTTCCTCATGCAATAATCAGATTCGGTATACTGAAACGTCATTTGCTGAGCGATACGCGACAGTAAATGTTGTCACCAGCCGTATTTTTGACTACTAGTGGTGAAGTGGGCGGCATTGTCTGAAACCGGAAAAGCTCTAGCTGCATGAAGATGCGAACAAAAGTAGCGCAATACCTGGGTTTCCGTTCAATGCCACTTTTGTTCGGTTACAGAATAAATACTGTTAATTCCGCATTACCTGGCCGCATAGGGTCATTCAATATCGATCTAAAATGTTCTATAAGAAGCACTATTGGCTATCATACCTTTACATGGTGAAGCACATCCGTCTTTAACGTGACGGCCGTCAAAATTTTGACTCAATTCGCTGCTCCCTTGTATCTAACGAATCAGTAAGATGGAACATGTTATACTCTTCCTTTACCATGGGCACAACGGGAACCACGTCATAACTGCTTGCGAAGGACTCGAACCGAATACAGGCTTAGACGACTTTCCTCTGTCCTCTTGACAGTCCATTACGGTACGTATGAGTTAACGTTATTCAAATATGACTTTTTAAAATAAGTATTCAAGATAAACTCTGAACTGCCCTAATAAAATAGACCCGTTTCGAGAAAAACGACGCCCACACTCTCAATCCACTTGCAGCGGATATCCGGATACGTACGGCGCAGTCTGGCCTAAAAGCTTTTTAAAACAAAAAGATAGAATTTGCTAAAATTGCTCCCTTTATTCGCCAAGAAAATCATGTGTATATTCATTGACAGGTAGAGGCAGGTCACGACGCTAAACCACAGTTATAGCTTTAATAGCCAAGGTTTATTTCTCCTAAAAGATAGCAGCGTGTAAAGCATTTAAAGTCTTAAACATAAGAAATTTGATTAAATTGACTACTTCATTAATTAGGTAATTAAAAATTAATTACAAAAAGGAAAAGTTGGACTACAGTGAATCGACACGTGTTGGGATGGCCCTTTAGTGCCCGCAGGTAATTTAGTCTCTAAAGCTGAGATGACGGCTTTTGAGGACAGCAGTAAACCGTGTGTCGACTTAAACACGGCGAATGAACGTATATAGTACAAGTATTTTTATTTATTATTATTTATTTAAATTTTATCCA